TCATACATTACACAAAAATCAACTCAAAATGGATTTCAGACCTAAATGTAAAATATAAAACTACAAAACTTTAAGAAGAAACTATAGGAGAGAATCTGTGTAATTCTGGATTTGGTGATGAAGATTCAACACCAAAAACATGATCTACAAAGGAAAATTTGGCAAATTGAATTTTATCAAAATTATAATTTCTTGCTGTTTGAAAGACACTGTAGGGAAAATAAAAAAACAAGTTAAAAATAAGAAAATATTTGCAAATGACATATTGGATAAAGCATCAGAATAAAGAACTCTTAAAACTCAACAATAAGAAGGCAATTTAACAAAATATGGGCAAAAGATATGAACAGACACTTCACTAATGAAGACATATAGGTTTCAAATAAGCATATGAAAAAATGTTAAACATCATTATGGAAATAAAATTAAAACCACAGTGAGATGCCTATTAGAATGGATAATATTTAAAAAGAAAATCGAGCGATATCAAATGGTGACCAGGATTTAGAACAACAGAAATCCTCATTCATTGCTGGTTGGCATGCAAAAATGACACCAGAGGTTGGAACAACAAGCATAAGCTGGGACTGTCCAAGGCAAACTGGACACATGATCATCTTATTTATACGCCATGATAAGAGGGTTAAGACTTGATCTCGAGAGCAAGGTTTTCCATAATACACATTTTGAAGGTCCTCACAGTCATTAAGTACAAAAACATTCTAAGGTCAAATATATTCAGAAAATACTGAGTTAAAGAAAGTTACATTTTTTCTTTACTGAACCACTTTTCAGAGACTTTAATTTACAAACATGAATCTTCAAGAATGTATCATACCATGGTTTTCCAGACCTTCAACATAAATGCCCTTCTCTGCTTCCTTCCTCCAACCTACACAACCCCTCACCCTGCTCAGCCCAACACTTTAACTTTTAAGGAGCATCTTTGGAGGCATGCCACAATCACGGGGGTTGCATGAAGCCTGGAGTGATGTTTTTAGATTTGTGCTTCAATTAGTGGTGGCTTGGAGGATAATATAGTTGAATAGAACGGGAGATAGAGATGCCCATCAGGAGGGTATTGCAGTGGATTGGGCTGCAGACAGTGAGGAATGGGGACTGAGGCACATAACAATATTTAGGAGGTGAAATTAGAAACAAACATGCCAATCACCATGCTATTCTTGCCCATGTCAGACTTCTATGGGATGCCTATCTCTTACTTCTATATTTAAAAAGTCAGAGCAACATCTGGCCTGTGCATGGCATATTCCTAGGCACGTGGGTGCTCTTAGGGGAAAAAAAGCCGACTGCGGAGAGAGCTGGGGGGTGCATAAAAATCGGTACAACAGAACAAACTCTTGTTTATTATACATGAATTTAAGCTGCCTTTTAATCGAGCACAGATTTCTTAAAACAGCTGTGCTTTTGATAATAAATCAAAAACAAACTTTCACAAGTCAATCTGCACCCCTCTCTTATCAATAAACTCCTTGTCTTGCTATATATTCTTTTTTGTGTCTTTTACTTCTCTGGCTATCCCATTAGATCACATGGTGGTCATATAAAAATATTTTTAGTTTAAGTAACTATTAAATAAACAGACGATTATCTCCTTTCACCTTCTCAAATTGCTACTACAAACCCTGGAGAGACAGTAGTGGAGAGCAATCTTGCACAGTGGAGGTTATTTCAGTGGTATTTATTTTAATAAGGACATAATAGGTATGCAGATAATCCCAACTCCAGGACTTACTTCTGATTGCCTTCAAAATCTTTCCAAGAAAACCAAAATCTTCAAAATGGCTAGCTTTAAAAATCCAAATTACAAGCCTTCAGGCATAAGTATCTCCCTCAAATGTACAGCATTTTGTGGGGATGTGAAATGAATACTTGTTAAATCAGCAGAATTTTTGCAAGAAGAATCTCCCCAATATCAGAACTTCATTAAAGCAAATGCATTGGAGAGGAGGAGGTGAGGACTGCTTTGAGAAATGTTTAAGAAGACATGGAAATCAATTAGATATGGAGAAATCTCCTACTCTTAGGACATGCAAAATTGAGCTGAACATGAGGTAGCTGAGATCCAAGATTGAACTCCATCTCACGTTTTCAGTTGCTTGTAAGACACTGAACATCTCAAACTGGATATCACTTATTAGAATATTAAAATATAACATGTTCAGTGCTAAATTTATTGTCACTTTGTTCCCTTGTTGCCCCCTCCTCTCTCTCTCCAGTCTCAATGTTATTTCCCTTTAATTTCCTCCACTTCTCCAGAGTTTTCTTCATTGCATGGGCTCAAGGCACCTGGATGAATTTCACTAAGTAGCAGGCAGATACTCAGATGGCATACAGTAAATATCAGGAACTCATTTATCTTCTGTGACTGTAAATTTTGCAGGCTTACGTACATAATTTTTCCCATTTGAATACAAAGGAGTGAAATATTATTCTTGGTTTTCAAAAGACCTGGAAGGAATCCTTTCATAACATATTTTAAAACTAAAGAAATTGGAAGGAGTCCAAGAAGAGGATTCAGACAGCTGAGCTTTGGTTCCGATTTTGTCAGTGACTAGCAGGATAACGTGAAGAGGCTATTGTAACTCAGGTTCATTGTGATTTCCCCTCCTACAGTCCAGGGTTCTATCAAAGGTAATGTGAAAGGATGTTTGGAGAATGCACCAGACCTTACATAGATGGAAATTCTTTGCATGATATTTCTTTAAATGATTGAAATGCCTCATCCTAAATTCACCAACCACTTCTTAATTCTCTAGTCCAGTGCACAAGTTTCGGTTCTTAATTTACTTGAACTTCCTGTGACACGTAATACTATAGACTATTATCTCTTTTTGAAATGTTTTCCTTCATTCTCTAGTTTACCTTTTGCTAGTTTGCTTCCTATTTCGCTGATTACTTCTTTTCACAGTTTTTCTTTCTCTGCCCTCCTTAAACATAGAAAGGTCGTATCATTTCATCCTTAGAGTTAGTGAGCTCATCTCTTTCCATAGTTCCAACCACAGCTCTGTCCTGAACACCTCACATTTCCAAGTACCTGTTAGACATTGAACACCTCAAACTGGATATCACTTCCCCAGAATGTTAAAATATGATTATGTTCAACAATGAACTTACTGTCACTTTGTTCCCTTATTTTACCACCTCCATCATCAAAATGCAATTACTTTATTAACAAATTTATGTCTCAGCCACCTTGTGTTCAGCTCAATTTTGCATGACCTAAGAGTAGGAGTAACCTCCATATCTAATTGATTTCCAAGTCTTCTTAACTATTTCTCAAAGCAGTCCTCACCTCTTTTTCTCCAATGCATTTGCCTTAGTGTAGTCTTTCAATATGTATGATATTTAGGATTTCTTATTGCAACAGCCTCCTAAATGGCTGTAATCTCAATCTCAATCTCCCTCCCCCTCCTCTCTCTCTGCACAGTCTTGATGTTATTTCCCTTTAATTTCCCCCACCTCCCCAGAGATTTCTGCATTGCATGGAATTATGAGCATATCACACCCTTGTTTAGAATCCTTTAACAGTTTAAGTCCTATTTGATACTCACTTCACATGATGATGATGTATGGCTTTCCATTACATAAACTGCACTTGCCTTTCCAGTCTTGGGGCCCTCTACCCCACCCACTGTGCTTTATCTACATAAAGTTATATAGTGATCCCCAAGAGTTTGCACTTGCCTGTGGTTTTACACATTTTTATGTGCTTTTCCTTTTTCCTTTCCCATTTTGTCTTCCTAGTGAACTCTTACACATCTTTCAGGATTCTGTTAGTACTTCCCCTTTGGAATGATTTCTGACTCCACAGTAAGGCATCTTCATCTCTGAGATCCCACCGTGCTGTGTACAAGTATTTCTTATAGCACTTCGCACAGAGTCCTTGGAAGGATCTCACTCCTTGAGCTCCTTGAGGGAGAATACCATGCTCCAGACATCTTAATTATCTGCAGTGCCCAGGAAAGCACCTGACATATGACAGGTTTTAAATGGATATTTGCTGAATGAGTGATACAATAGGAAGAACTCAAGATTCTGAATTAGGTCATCTGGACCTGTGCTACTCATAATCACTTGGGTAATTTCGATGAAGTTTCTTTGGGTTTCAGTTTCTTTAATCTAGGAGTGTCAAACTCATTTTCACCAGAGGCCACATCAGCCTGGCCGTTACCTTCAAAGGGCCGAGATAGTTTTAGGACTGTATAAATGTAACTACTCCTTAACTGTTAAGGTGTTGAAATTACATTTGGCCTTTTGAAGGCCAAAGCTGATGTGGCTTCCCAGTGAAAATGAGTTTGACACCCCTGAATGAGCAAAGGCCAAGCCTATCTATCTCCTAATTAATTTGGTGACTTCTTTCACCTGAAGAAAGTGATGCTTTTTACCTAACAATTACATTGTGTTTGTTTGGATATTTATAATTTGAAGAGTCTCTGCTTTTTTTCAAACCCTGTGCAAAATATGCCCTGCTCTTCAAGGATGCTTAGAATGCCTTGTATGTAGCCTATGAAGATTTGGGTAGTAAATGAATACACAGAGGTGACTCTTTATTATTTCTTAATTTTCCTGCTAGGATTGTTGATTTGCGTTCTCCTTTTTCATTTGAACCGTGAAACCAGTCTACTGCAGAGGGAAGAGTTAGGAAATAAGACAGGTATGGGCTGATGGGGCGGGCTGAAGACCTGAATCTAGGGAGGTTAGCAGGTAAAGAAGACAGCTGCCCTCCATTTTCTTCTCTCTCTTTCCCACAACTCCCCCCCCCCCGCCCCGCCCCAAGCAATCTAAGGCGTTCACCATCTGTTTCCCAGGCCTCCAAGAGTACGTTCCTAGCAATTTCGCGGATACCCCCACATTCCCCACCTTGGAACCAGAGGGGGCGGGAGACGACTGCTGTCACTCAGGCCGGCGGCCCAATGGGAGGGAAGCAATCCCCGCCTCCTTCCTGGGCAGTATTGCGGGCATGCGCAGTGCGCATCCCAACGCCCACACCCATCAGCTGATTATCGTAGCTGGGGCCTCTGGACCCGGTGAAAGCCTGGGGCCGGAGGAGGAGGAGAAAGCCGAGGAGGTTGGGGTAAGGTGAGTGTGTGGCGGAGGGCCCCTAGCCGGGTCTTGAAGGCTCGAGGTCCCTGTGGCTTCCGCGTCTTCTGGTTTATTTGCGTTGTCAAGTGGCCATCCTGCGCTGTGCGGCGGGCTCTTCCCAGCTCCCAGAACGCCCATCGCTCCCCACGATCCCCGGCCCCAGTCCCGGCCCCAGTCCCGGCCCCAGTCCCGGCCCCAGTCCCGGCGCGGGTGATTGGCGTGGTCAGGCGGCCGGGCTTGGCGGCCGGGCCAGTGGAACCAGTCCGGCGCCTACAGCTCGCCGCCTCCCGCGGCCGCCACGGTCCCTGGTCCCCGCTCGCTCTGGAGCACCTGCAGGGCCGGCCCCGGAGCCAGCCCCGGCCAGCCCAGGAATCCTGCTTGAGCCTGCATCGGGACGCAAATCGACCTCTTCCTCTTTTTAACCCATTGATTTAGAAAACACGTTAAAGTTCTCCCTCTTGTTACAGAAGATATGAAAATATATGGCTATAGTAACGGAACTGTAGACGTTTATTCAGAGGCTCACTGTGGTTGATTTTCTGTTTGGCTTGATTAAGGCTGCCTTTCCTAGATTTCAGTACGCGTTATTAACTGGTTTATATAAAGACCTTTAGACATGCATAAAATATTTCAAGATGTCACACCTCTCTTGTTTTCTAGGTTGTTAAAATATTTTTTTCTCGCAAGTTTCTTGCATTTGCCTGGCTCTTGGATACATACATTAATTTTGTTTAATTCCCATCAATGTATTCTGAATTTAACTCTGTAATTTAAAACTTGTACAGGATCTGGAAGAATAGGAAATATTGTGAAATGCTATTCTGTTTAGTAATGTTGGAGGCGGAGGTTTCTTCGAGGGGTGGCCTGAGCCTCAGCGGGGCACAAACTGATAAAGGCGTTAAACTGCCTTGTGTTGCGGACGGGCGTCTGCTTTGCAGGCCACTTGAGAAGTTTGTCTCAAACTTAGGACTGGTTAAGAGTTAGGCTCTAGTTTCAAAGTTTCTGTAGAAGTTAATATGATACTATATTAACTGACTAAGGTCTACATCATTTTTCTTGGGGTGTTTTACTTCTGCTGCTCTCGATAACAAAAGTCAAACCAAAAGCTTTGGTTAGGATACCAAACTTTAGCTAAGTGCTTGCTGGCGGTTGAAAAATGTATAAAACATCTGCAGTAAGTCTGAGTGAAGTTTGCCGTGATTCCATTTAATTTAGAAGTTTAGTGTGTGAAAGGGTGGAAAACAATCCTTGGAATTGTGAACTAAGACCGAATAATAGTTTAACAGACGGAAGAGCTGAGCTAAAGAATGTGGCTACTGTCTCATTTATATTCCAGAGGTAGGGATAGGTATTATAAACAGTGTACTAACTAGATCACTTGAAATGGTGATTAGCACTGTGATGCAGTAAGTCAGAGAGGTTAGTGGATTGTGGCCCGGGTGGTGACTTTTCACTTCAGATCCCAGTGGTCTCTATCCCAAGGCTTCTCTGTCATGTGACAAGACATTGCTGGGAAAAAGGGGCCAGTCACATGCAGATCATGAGAGGAAGAGTCTTCTAGAGATAGGAAATGGCACCACGCACAGGCCTCGAGGCAGCAATAGGCCTGGACATTCGGTATCTGACAGAAGGCACTGGAATTCAGTGTGTCAAAAATGGTGACATTTACCCGCATACTGGTTGTGTGTTCTTAGAAAACAGGTACATTTATTCATTCATTCTATAAATATTTATTAAGCACCTATTATATAGCCAGGTACTGAGGAGACAGCAGTCTACAAAATAGACTGCTCCCCGCTCATTAATTGGTTTATATAAAGACCTTTAAAATACATAAAATATTTCAAGATGCCTCCCCTTCTTGCTTTTTAGGTTGTTACTTTAAAATCTGACATGAAGGAAAAAAAGACATTGCTTTTTCTGTCAAATGTTATATTTTGACAAATATTTTTTACATTTTGGGACATGAGGTGGAGAGAAACCAATGCTTTATGCTAGTGCTCATGATTAAGAAAGTGAAACTATTTCTATTGCTATGCCCATGCCCAAATGCTTAAATGTCTTGTCCAAGGTAGAGATTTCTGGTTGTCAGTTCCACTGGTAGCTGAAAAGGAAATTGGCAACTGTCTGTAACTTCAAAGACATGTAGACACTAACTAGAGTTAAGAGTATGACTTGTATAGAGTCCAATCATACAAGAGTCACTTGTATAGAGTAGGTGTTTTTGTGTATGGGGATGGAGAAGCCCCACCTAAGAGAGTAGAAGAGAGTACATAAATAAGAAAAAGGAACATTTCCTCATTCAGTGTGTTTGTGTTGGCTGTGAGCCAGTTTTTCTAGAGCCATAGTTGACAGAGGGAAAGGAAAACGAAAGATGTCATTGAGCCAGGAGCAAATTGTGCCCATCCATGTAGTAGAATTTGGCTATAAAAGGAATGAAGTATTGATTGATACATCAATATGGATGGACCACAAAAACATGCAGAGAGAAAGAAGCCAGTCACCAAAGAACACATATTGTGTTGTGATTCCACCTTGTGAAGATATGAAGTGGACTAGTGGTTGCCTGTAGCTGGGGAGGTTGGAGAGCAAGGGGGAGTGACTATTTATGGATATGGGCTTTATTTTTAGGGTAATGAAATGTTCTAAGTGTGATGTGTTGATGGTTGCCCAATTTGTGAATATTTTTAAAAAATTATTGTTCAGTTACAGTTGTCCCCATTTTTCCCATATTGCTCTCCCCTGCCCTGCCCACCCCCCACCTCCCACTATCAGTTCCCACCCATTGTCTCTGCCCATGAATCCTCTATTCATGTTCCTTGACTCATCCGTCCCCTTCATTCCCCCATTATCCCTCTCCTCCCTCCACTCTGGTTATTGTCAGTTTGTTCTTTATTTCCATGTCTTTGGTTCTATTTTGCTTGCGTGTTTGTTTTGTTGATTAGGTTCCACTTAAAGGTGAGATCATATGGTATTTGTTTTTTACCGCCTGACTTATTTCACTTAGCATAATGCTCTCCAGTTCCATCCATGCTGTTGTGAAGGGTAGGGGCTCCTTCTTTCTTTCTGCTGCATAGTATTCCATTGTGCAAATGTACCAGTTTTTTGATCCATTCGTTTACTGATGGGCACTTAGGCTGTTTCTAGCACTTGGCTATGTGCCTTTGTGAATATTTTAAAGCACTTTTGGATCGTATACTTTAAATGGATGAATCACATGATATGTGAATTATATCTCAATAAAGCTTTTACTGAAAAACAAAATAGGTACAGAATTTCAAGATCCAATTGGTGCTTTGTAGGACACTTAGTCTCATTGAATCCCCAGATCTAGGCTTGTTCTGTCTGGGCCCTAGCACTTCAGGTCACTGCAGGCCCATGTCCAAGGCTACCTGGAAGGAGGTTTATTCCTGCCACCCTGCGGCAGTGGTTCTGTGGTCTGAGTTAAGGTTTTATTTACTCTTTTATGAAATTGGTTTTAGATCTATCTCTAGGACTCGGTGAGGTCCAGAGAGCACAGAATAGATAAATTGGACCTGTGGGTTAATGAAAAAGAATAGAGAGCATCTAAAAGCTCTCAGAAATTCCAGGGTGGCTGGGCGCATGCTGGAGTTTCAGGCATGGAACCAGTACTGTTCTGCCCATCTCAACAGTGCAGTTGTACTTCCTGCCAGCACTGACCCTCAGAACAAAGATATGTATTTCCTTGTGGCCTCTTCTCCCCTGCCAGAAATCTCCAGTGGTTTCTTATCACAACACATTCACACTAAACCTAGCATGTAGGGCCCTCCTTCTTCTGTGGCATTTATTCTGTGGGGTAGCCAAGCACGGGGAGCTTTGGAACCAGAGCCTGGGGATTGAAACCCACCTCTACCTGGTGGATGGGTTGGTTACCTTTCCAGCTACTTAATCTTTATAAGCCACACTTTGCTTATCATTAAAACAAGGTTTATTTGCTACTACCTACTTTTTAAAGGGGAGATTTTGAAAATTGAACTAGATAATCTATGTGAAGTCCTTTTCATTTCACAGGTGTGCAGTGAATGTTCGGTCATCCCCCACTTTCTGTCGGTGTTGTCTTCCACTTGTCCCAGCCATGAGTCCTCCAACTTGGAGTTGCCCAGGAACCTCTTCGTTCTTTGGCAGTGACACAGTATGTTTGTCTTGTCCATGTGTTCTGGTCCTGTCCACTCCAGGCTTTATTGAGTTGCCTTTGTTGCTTTTGTTACCAGTCATGCCCAGGTATTCGAATCTTATGCTTCTGTTATATGAATTCTTTTTAGACAAGGGCCATAGTGATATTTCCTTTTCATAGTCCCTGTCACTCACTATTGACTTTTTTAGTGAGTTGTATTGCTTTTGTTGTTTTATACATTGTTAACGTTATCCTTTCTCCTAAGAAACAAACTTGACTTCAGCAGCTTCTTTATATTTGTTCTTTTATTTGCTTGCAGCCCCCAAGTGCTTACTTTAATGCGGGGCCTGCAGCAGATGCATAGTGGAGAGTTGGCATATAGATTGACCACTCACAGCTTTGCAGTGTTCTGTGCACACGCTGTGAGAAGGTGGTGCAGGAGTAGTCGACATTCTTTGCGGTGCACAGTCCTGTACATAGGATACCCCTTTCCATCCTTTCTTTTCACACTCCGAATGGTGTGGTGTGGATAGAGGAAGAAAAGAACTTCACCTTGCCTCCTTCCCGTAGCTGCATCCTAGCTTAGCCTTCTCTCCTGGTGCTGGCTTCAGGAGGAGGAGTCGTTCTTGCTTTGCCAGGAAGGTGTACGTGTGATGAGCACAGGGCTGTCCTTTGGTCCTTACTTGTTGGCTTTGCTCTTTGAAATTTGACCTCCTTTTTCATCTCTGAAATTAGAGATTCATTCATAAGTTTCTGAGCTGTTCCTACAGGTGTTAAAGGTAGATATAGCAGTGACATTCCTGGAGATAGCCTGAAGTCTGTATTCCATATAATAAATATTTAAATACCTGACCTGTGCTAGAAATTGTTTTAAATGTTGGGAAAAGAAAGATAGATAGCATGTGGGCCCTGCCTTTAGTTGCCTGGAGTTTAGTTATAGATAAAATATATAAACAATTAAAATTATACATAGAAAAGAGACTTAATAATTCTTCCTTAGAAAAATCACAGAAGTTCAAAGGGAATGTACAGTTTGAACCTTATTTTGTTGAGACATGTTTAACTTGCCTCTGTCCTTTAAAGTTCAGTTTTTTTTAAGATTTTATTTATTTATTTTTAGAGAGGGAAGGGAGGGAGAAAAAGAGAGAGAGAAACATCAATGTGCCGTTGCTGGGAGCCGTGGCCTGCAACCCAGGCATGTGCCCTGACTGGGAATCGAACCTGTGATGCTTTGGTTTGCAGCCTGTGCTCAATCCACTGAGCTACGCTAGCCAGGGCTTTGTTTTGTTTTTTTGATAGATGTAGGAGTTTTACTATTTGATGTTAGATTTCAACCTTTTAGGTTAATCAGATTTGTCCTTGTAACCTCCCAAATCGACACCACAGTTTAGAAACTATAAGCTAATAACTTTAAAAGTATAATTATGTGACTCTTGTCTTATGTTATTCAGGTGACTGCTTAGAAAACTGTGTGGCCCACCAACATCTGATGAAATTACTGACTAAGCAGAGCAGCCATGTCTTACACTCCAGGGACTGTCGGCGACCCCACTCAGCTGGCCCAGCGCATCTCCTCCAACATCCAGAAGATCACACAGTGCTGTGAGTTGAGTTTTAAATTGACTCCACTGTTTGCTTTCAACTCTTGTCTGACCTTGGTGGAGTTTATAAAAGGACAACTACTAGTGAATGAGAGGGGGAGGAGCATTCCTTTACAAATAGATCCTAAAAGGCTAGAACTATTTAGAATGGATGTAAGAAATAATTATATATAGAAGAGATAGCACTTAACTGCATTTCCTTATTGCTTCAGGCTCATAATACACATAATTACATTAACAAAATAAAAATTATAAAAGGTAGAGATACTTGTTTTTGCTTTAAATCTATCCAGTTCTAGATGAGATTAATGAGACTCAATGACTAAGTCTCACAGGTTTGGAACTGGGCAGCACTATCACATCTTTAGGGAACATATGTTTATTAAAAAAGTCTGGCTGGACATGGTTTAGGTTAGTTTTGTAAAAGGTAGATAGCGGTATGTTATTCAGGAGCAGGGAAGAACTGAGGGGGGAACATGGATGCAGATATGGAAGATGACTATCTGGGCTCCTCGCAGATTCCTTTGCTGTACTTGTTAAAGACAGAATGCTAGTAGACTAGTCCACTGTGTCGTTTTATTAGAAATCATTACTCCTCAGAATATACATAAGACTAAAAAAAAATCACTGTAACAGATTTGAGCCTATAGATTTTTTGTTTTGTTTTGTTCTTTGTTTCTAAATCGCAGCTAATCACATACCTGGATGATTCCAGTCATTTTGTGGTCAGTGTTTTGGCCCTGTGGGCATTCCTTGGGCACCACTCTGTCAGAGGGTTAGTATAGTTTTATTCGCCAGCCTACTTTGTTAAGGCTGCCCTTTTTACCAGAATGCAAACACATTGTGGAAACAAGCACTGTGTTCAGATGAACAAACTGTGTATCTTTATCTAACCATTAACTTCCCAACAATTATTACTCTACACAAATGATTTGAATGAGATGTCAGTGTGTTTTGGGGAAGAGGACATAAAATTAAATTATAGGTGGTTCTAAAAAAGTACCACTGTGCACTGTGTAGAATAATGCTTTTTCTGATTTGGATTAATTCTTCTTTTCTTTGGCTTTTCTTAGAGGAGCAAGGAGGTGAATAGTGTGGCAGTATCATGCTGTCCCCGGCTGGGACTGTAGGAATGGGGCATCAGGGATTGTTCCAGTTTGTGTCACCGCACCAGCATTGTCTCCACTGTGTCTGGCTTCCTGTCCATTCTGATGATAGTCAAAAGGGCCTCCCCTTCCTTTGTCTCCTCGTTGCTGGTTAGAAGTCATGCCTGTCTCAGACTACCTGTGTGGAAATTAGGAGAGCTTATCATTTTAATTTACACATGTGGGAAATCAGGACCTTTGTGTGAGAAAGGCAGCCAGGAGGTCTTCCTCGGAAGAACAGAGCAGGTCAGGTATCCCCAAGCCAAACGGCGCCAGGACTTCTGGGAAAAAGGAGAACTGACAGCTGTGCACTGAGCTGACAGAGGCAGTAAGCACTGGGTCATACGAAAGGCACCTCGGGGAGATTGCGTGTGAGGTTGAACTGGAAGGGGTTAAGGGGTAACTTCATTCGGGTCTTGCTCCCTGAGGAAGAAGTCAGTTGATTCAGCCAGATGAGACTGATAAACTGGACCGGAGCTGCACGCACATGGCTTAGTTGATAGCTGAGTGTGCAACTACACTGTGGTGCAGGGCAGTCTTGGAGTGGCGATAAGACCCACTGCTGTGCTCTGTGAAGACCTGTCAACGTGGGGATTGTTCAGCCATGAGAAGGTACAGTCACCACCTTCAGATATTTGAAGCACTGCCTTGTGTAAAACATAAGAAATGTATTCAGCGTGATCATTAAGGCCTCCACAAATGAGTGTGACTTCAGCTTGGGAAGAAGTAAGGGCTTTTGAATAATCGAAGTTGTTTAGGGGTGGAGTTAGTTGCTTGCCTCCGGAGGAAAGTGATCCCTATTTTTAAGTGACTAGCCTACAGTGGTCAGATATTTTCCAGGCCCGTTATTGAGAGTTTTAAATTCTGAAATAATGGTTCAGACTAAGTGACTTAATTTTGAGAGGCTGTCTTTACTCAGGCAGCAGGTAATTCATGGAGCACCTACTGCTTGCTAATCATTCCTCCAGACCCTGGGAATCCAGCAGTAAACCAGATCCACAGGCCCTGTTCTGTAGTTCACAGTGTAAGAAAAAGCAGATGGTAAAAAGAAAAAGTTAATGCACAATCTAATTTTCTATGAAGAAAGTACCATGAGAGTGATGGGCAGCTGCCTTAGCTTAGATGGTGCCCTGCATGAGGACAAGAAGGAGCTGGTGGTGAGAAGATAGTGGGAAAGAGCATTTAAATGGGGGCCACAGGTGGTATTTTTTTTTAAAAAGCACTCCAAAGCTTGGCATGAGCAGCAAATACCAAAAAAAGAGAACTCCAGTGTGTCGGAAACGTAGCACTTGAGGCCAGTCTGAGCAGAAGTGAAATCAGAGAGGAGGCTGAGCAGGTCACCCCGAGCCTTGGAGGCTATCTAGGGAGTTTAGATTTCATTCTAAGAGTCAGGGAAGAAACACAATCAGATCTGCACTTTGAAAAGATTGCTTTGCTTTGGCTTCTCTTAGAAAATAGACTTTGGGGAAATTAAGGGGGATGCATTGGCCATGAGAGAGAGATTGGTGTGCATTGGGGTGGTGGCAGTGGGAAGAGAGAGAAATGATGGACTTACTGATGAATGCAGATGGACTGGGAGAAAGAGAAGGATCCAGATGACTCGTGGTTTTTGCGTTGAGCAACCAAGTGGACGGCGGTGAGCACATACTGAGATGGGAAGTACCACAGTTCAGAGAAGTGGGGAGCGTTTTGTTTTGGTCACGCAGATTTTGAGATGTCTTTTAAACACCTAAGTGAAGATGTCAAACATTTATTTTAGATATATGGCTTAGGAGATCAGAGTGTCATCGAAGCATTAATGGTATTTAAAACCATAGGTCTAAAATAGTCACAGTGCTTAGTAGAGTTAAGGAGGGCTGGCGTGTTAAAAATGTGCAGGTCAGGAAGCAGAGAGAAAGCAGCATAAAGAATCGGGAATAACCAGAGAGATGACAATAAAATTAGGATATCATGGATTTCCAGAAATCAAGGAAAAAAAAGAAAAAAGATAGTGCCTCAAGACTGAGTGAGGCATCATCTATGTCTAAAGCAGCGAAGAGATTAAGATGAAAGCAGGTAATTGGATCTTGCAAACTGGTGACTGGAAAAGTGGTCTCATATCCATGTTGCAAGTATAGATGGAGAAAAGGAAGAAGGACCAAGACTTCCCAGAATCCTGCTCACCTCTGCTTATACTACAGACCAGAACTGAGATGATCACATGGCTGTACCTAGCTGCTAGGAAGGCTGGATGGCAGTGTGCTCACTAACACTGGGGATTTTTGCTTCATGTGAGAGAGAAGGAAAAACATCAATATGTAGCAGGTAACTGGATGATTTTACCATGGAAGTGGAAAGAACATTAAAGAAAGGGTTGCATTTTCCACTACAAAAGTGATTCTAGGTAGAGTATAACTGTAAAAGAGATACCTTTGAGGGCTAGAGGGAAAGGGGAACAGATCTTTCGTGTCTGCTTTGCCTTTCATCAGCTGGACGGGGTTGTGTGGCGTAGGTGGTAAATGTGGTAGGTGAAGATGGGGAGTTTCCATCTGATTGAGCTGTTTTTAAACAGAATAGGAGGCACAGGCCAATGGGAGTCTGTGGAAAGAAGAGAAAGTGATTACTTGTAGTTTTGAGGATTGAGAGAATTGACATACCTCAGAAGCAGAGAGGGGTTAGTGGCAAGTTGAGTATTCATTTGAGATTTGGGGTCTTGAATTTAGTGAAACCAGTCATCACTGTGCATTTTCTCTATTTCTGGGGATTCAGTGTCTAACTAACTGAAAGGAAATGCAGATTTAGAGAGAGCCAGTTATTAAAAGCTTCACCTACCATCCAGTGTGTGTCGCCGAGAAGGGCTGTGAAGAAATCACATGGAAGTGAAAGGCAGAAGTGTGAAATTTCAGTTCCCTTTTTTTTTTCCCATCTGGTAATGCTAATTATACTGGATGTGATTGAATCAAATGGTACTTTGCACCACATTTAGGTGCTCTCTTCACACTACATTTGCATCCTGAGAATTTGTGTCTGCACTAATTATCTAGTTTTGCAGACGAAACCTGAAGAGAGGATGCTGTAAATAAAGAAATACCCTTGTGGTTAGAATCTGTGAATGTATCCAACCAGAGCTAAAACTTTCTGGAACACTGCAGTGGGAAAAATTTATTTTTCAATTACTTTTGATATAGGTCGATGAAAACTTGCAAAATACTGAATTGTATGGTTTAGTTTATAACGAAAAAATAGCTATCAGAAAGAGTTTTTCTTCTTGGAGGAACCTAAGGATATGATTTAGTAAGATGGGAGTTCGGTGCCCCCCCAGTATTTTATTCTGGCAGCTTGGTTTTGCAAAGAAATAGGATAGAAGGAACAGAATGTATTTAAAATTTTTCTTAAACCGTTTGTTAAAAATAATGCATAGTCTTATCAATTTTCTGTACTAATGAAGTATTTAAACCACAGTGCAGTAATATAGTTTATGCCAAACAAAACATACAAATATGAATACTTAAATATAAAATACATTACACAAAAATAGATTAAAGTAATATAACTTTCTAATACTTTATTAAGGATTTCTCCGTGGAGCAATGAAATGATGAAGAAAACATTTTCATCCTGTGAGGGAATGTGTTCTGTTTACTTTGTCACGGAGTCAGCAGTGTGTCTGTGCCCCCAGTGCTCCCCCCTTCCTGGGCAGTGTTCTCTGTCGTGGCCCCAAGGTGGCATCCGGTCTTTTTCAACCCCTGCTCCAGGCCGCCATTCCCAGTAGACTGGGGTTGGCCTGGAAATCAAACCCCGTGCTATCCCAGATCTAGAAAATCATCATGAACCAAAGAAATGGTTGGATTCAGTTCTCAAGCTTTGGCATGAGATA